CAAAGGAAGCCAGGCTGGGCAAGGAAGGAGAGGGGGACAGCAGGGCGGGATGGCGGTGTGGGTCAGGGACCACAGCTCTCCCTTCAGGGCCGTTCTCACTGGCCGCACCGCAACGTCAGTTTGGGCCTGAGGTCACAGCGTGACTGTCCCAACAGGAGCCACTACAACAAACAGCCCACGTTGGCCTGTTCCACGCATCCACCCGGACCACCTCCTCAGGTGAGGGGGGACAGAGTGCACTGGCAGAGCTGGCTCCTCCCTCGATAATCCCCAGCAGCTCTGAGAACCCTGAGGCAAGGTGGAACCCGCTCAGCCACGAGTCTTCACCGCGTCCCGTGCAAGTTCACTCCGGAACCCTGAAGGGAGTCCAGGGAGACAGGGGCCCGCCTTCATGTACGCTGCTCTGCATGTACTCCCACCCTGAATCAAGTCCCAAGCGCTGTGACCAGCCCCAGGAAGGACACCGCAGGCCGGGGCTGTGAGTCACCCAGACGCACGGCGGGCTACAAAGCCCAACCGGCAACCTGGCTGGACGGGGCCCTTCCCCAGCACCTCCCAGTGCACCGGCCAGCAGGTCGCGCGACGGGCTGCCGGACGCTCTCTCTCCCCGCGACCAGGGTCCCGCCGTGAGCCCCGCCCCAGAGAAGAAGCAAGGACAGCGCCTACCCCTGACTCCGCCGCAACCTAAGTGGGGTTGGCCAACAGTGCCTGTGCCTAAAGCCTGCAAAACGCGCCTGCGAATGCCCCCGCGTGAGCGAGGCTGTCCACGGCCTCACCACCCCGACGCCCCCACACACCCAACGGTGCAGGCAGCGTGGTCAGCTCAAGCTGGCTCTCCGTGGCACGCACACAACTCCGCGATCAAAACCGAAGGAAAGGCCTTTGTCACTCAGATGAAATGTGACCATAATCTCCCCGGGCTGATGGCCAGGTAGTGGGGCCCTGATCTGTCCCAGACAGACTCCCGGCCCCCACGTGCACCCTGCAGGGTAGGGAGCGCGTAACACGCGTCTGTCTAACGGGCACACCGACCTCCCCACCCCAGCCGCACAGCGGCCGTGAGCGGCCAGGGGAGCACGGGGAGCTGAGGCCGGGACGGAACGCGGGCGCCATACGCGGGCCTCAGAACTACCCAGCACGCCCACCCTGCGGGTCCCCGCCGTACCCACAGACCTGCCTCCCAGAGGAGACGCTCTGACGACAAGCAAGGCACGTTCCAGGGAGGCGCCGAAGGGCACATTCCGTCCCGGTGCGTAGACACGAGCGCTGCGATGTCACTGGGACGGAAGGCGCTCAGTCAGGGGCCGGGGTCACTTCAGATGCCGCGACGGTGGGAGGCTCAGCGAGCGGTACACGCTCCCACCCCCCTCGGCTCCCGGGTCGGCAGCGATGTGGGGAGAGGGCGGCAGGACCAGGCCCTTGACTGCGGCCCCCCCCATCAGCTCAGGCCCATCATGTGCCACACGAAACCGCGGGAAGCCCGACTTGCTAGAGAAAGCCTCAGAAACACACACTTTGCACTGGGGAGGCCCTGTTCCGTGATCCCCGCTGCCGCCGCCCGGTCACACGGCCGCTGGGACTTCCTGGGACAGGCGTGAGGTCTGTCCCCCTTCCGGCCGGCATCCCTCCTTCCATCTCCTGCAGAACACAGATTTATGTACCTACGAAGTAGTAAGGCAGAGCCTTAAATTTAATCAAAAGAAATGCTTCACTGGTGGCAAACTGATAAATTATTTAGACAAGGGTTCAATTGGCCTGGAAAGAAAATCTGGGCCTGACAGTCTGGCAGCCTCAGGAAAAAAATAACATCGCTATGGCTTCTCTGAATCCCTTCTTGACCCCAAATCACCTTTACCAAAACGTTTAATCCTGCATAGCTGGAGCGAGAAAAGGAGGAGGAGAGCACACGAGGAAGGACACCGACTCTCACAGGCACGAGGCGGGCACGTTTCCCGTGGTCGGTTCTCTGTCCCTTCTGAGTGGCACTGGGGTAGCTCGGTCCCACGTGGCCCACGCACAGGCACGCAGAGGCACGCCAACACTAATGAACAGGACCTCATTTCCAGCTGCGCCACCTTTCTGAGCCTCAGAGTACAGGACACGGAGGAAGAGGAGATCAGATCTGGGGGTGTCCACCTCAAAGGTCTAGAGATTTCCTAACACTCCCGTTGCTTTACTGCAGGTGGTTCCTCAGACTCTCTCATGCAGAGCACTCGAGGGCCCCGTAAACACAGTCAAGTGCTGTGTGTTTTGCTCTGCAGTGTTCCAAAGGACCCTGATTTACAGTTAGGAACACACCACCAGGCACACCAACGTCTGAGCTTGCTTATCGTCTCCTGTCTCGTGCAAACTCTGGGAGGCGACGCGAGGCCGGCCTCCCTCTCCCGTCACCCACGGGAGCTTCCAGAGAGCGGAGGAGAGCGCCGCTCACCCCAGAGCACATGTCGTGACCGCCCAGCGCACAAGGCACAGCCCACAAGCCACCCTGGCCAGCCCTCCTGGCACATCCCAGGCCTTAGGCTCGTTTCCAAACATATGCATCCCACTAACAGGTGGAAGCAGCAAAATTTTAACCCCTTTATCGTACTTAAAAATGAACGCAACCGTCCTGACGTTCAACGCGGAAAATACTAAGTATTCATCGCCATGGTTCCACTTCCTGAATGCGGGCTCAGGAGCCCAGTCCGCTGACATGAGTGGCCCCTTCCTGGGTACGGCTGGCATGCTCTGGTCCCCGCCTGCAAACCAGCCCCAGTGGGGTCCCACCCGCGCCGGTGCACCCTACAATCCAGAAACACTCTCCCTGACCAGCCTTGTGAACTGAGTCTCTCCTTCAAAACACCCCCTTGCAGATCCGCTCTTCAAAGCCCACGGACCTCAAGCATGTGTCTCAGACTAACAACGTCCATCTGGAGGGCCGTACCCTCTCTGCTACCACTCGCCCCACGTGGCCACCCCCACTGCAAGAAGGTGACTTCTCAACCCCATCCTGAGTCTACTGTCATTTTTGCATCCGTGATTGTGTGCCTATATGTAAATGCTGTCTTACACGGTAACGCCTCCTCCAGATGCCATGGGAGAGATCTACTCTTAAACAGAGACTTAGATTAAAAATCATGGATTCTACTTTCGAAGATTCCACTTACTGCCAGCGAGCACGAACTAGCTGATGCCTACCAAGTTAAGCTAATAGTAAAGCTAGCAGTAAAGCCACTCCTAGCACTCCCCGAAATTGTAAATCACGCCCAAGGGAATAAACAGGCAGTATCTGGAAATACTGACCCCACATTCTGAAAGACCACATCTTCGCATGTGATACGTCTTTAAAAGGAAGAACGTAATTAAAATAGCAGAGCCTGTTGGTGAAGAACGCAGTCGGTAGATCTGAATTTATCTGGCTGCATTCTCCTTTAAATAAATGAACCCAGCAAAAAGCCAAAGCCTGAAGTCGAACTCAGGAGATGGTGAGATGTGGGTAAGTGAGAAAGGCGTTCTTCTACATTTAAATATTGCTGGTTCTCCACCTTCCAGATGCCAGTGACGTCAAGTCTTCCGACAGACGTCAGCTCTGTGTGTTGTCACACGCGGACGGAAGTCTGTGCAAACCGCACGCGCACCCGGAAGGCCCTGGAGAATGCCACTGAGACCCTGGACTGCCTTCAAGTCCTCAAGGAAGCAAGTTTCTACTGACAACAGGAGGCACCTCAACTGTCTTTAAAGGGTTTCACCATGGAAATATCTCTCCGTTCCTCATCCAAGCCCCAAAGGCATTATACCCGCACGAGAAAGGCTCCTGAGTTTTTATATAACCATCAAGAGGTAACAAATCTAACAGAGGGAAAAGCAAAGCCCTTCGGCATAGACCAAAACCATCACTAAGAATCTGGCTTCTGAAGAATGGGAGTCCGCGGTTGTTAACGCCACAAGTTAGACCCTGCTGCCCCCTAAGACACAAGGGGACATGGTTGCCACCACTCAGTCGATGCTGACTATAGGCAGCAAGAGAAATGACCCACAGACGCGGTGACAGGCACCAACAGATTCACTTCTGACTGCTCTCTTAGGATGTAAATATGTACAAAGACTCCCTAATTCCAGATCACCCAGATGAGGAGTCCACAGATGAAGCCCAAGCACACAGGGTTCACCGGGCCCTAAGCCACCTGCCTCCGTGAGGCAGACGCTCAAAAAGGAAGGGCAATGACCACAAAGGCTCCCGGGAGCCGCGTGAGCAAGGCCACCACCGCCCACGTTCCGCGTGGTCGTGCCCTGCAGAGGACTCCAGAGCCAGCCCACCACACAAAGCGGAACAGAAAGCACCTCCATAAACACCCCAAATTTCTAATCTGCTGCTACAATTAGTACATCTTCAAGCCAGCTAAAGAGCAAGGCTAAAGGACACAGGTCTTGGGGTGGTTCAGGCGAAAACTTTAGATCGTAAAAGGCAACCTGCCACTGTTCTTTAAAAAAACAAAACCACAGAACCCTCAGATATAAGCAACAAAAGGCATGGTAATTGGCGGCTGCCTCCCAAGGAGACCCCTACCTTTTGAATCAAAGACCAAGCATATAATAGGTGTCATCTTTTCAATGCTGAGTGCTTTTTTCTCAACTGTTTGAAAATCGAAGACAGGAGAAATAGCTCTAACTCGTTGAGGTTGCAGGAAAGTTACTGAAAACATGTTTCCTGAGAAAAACCGTGATCTAAGAGTAACACGAGAAATGCTTTTCAGCGCCTAAAGACTGTAGGGAGAAACTCAGGCCAAACAAGCCAAGACACCATCCCGCCCAGGGCCCCCGCCAGCGCCTGGCCACCTTCATGCACGACAGGGTGCGTCCACGGAGCTGGGGAGGGAGGGCGCAGCGAGGATTGTCCAGCCACGGAGGGACGCGAGCTGAGGGTCCGTAAAAACCTCCCGCTTGGATTCAAAGGCTGTTTGAAACCAGGGAATGGAAGCTCCCTGTAAGAAAAAAGAGAGGAGCAAACAAAGAGCACTCACCCGTGGCTGCCAGTTCTCGTACTGCTTCTGCAAATTTGCACCGATGGTTTCCAGAGCTTTCTGAGGCCCCATCGACAGAGGATCTGAAGAAGCAATGAAAAGCAGAAAGTCCGTTACCCATTCGTTTCCTCCGCTGCTGAGCCTATCGCTCCTGGTTTCCTCTTCCATCACTCACTTCAGAGTCACCCTGGACCGAGGAAGACACACCTGGGGGTTTTCTGTGTTTAACCAGATGGAGGGGACAGCTATGTCCCCAAACAGGACAAAACGCCACACCTGCTCACCTTTCGAGAGGAAGGCTGTTTGGTCAGACTCGCTGGCCCGTGAAGTTCCCTCTCCTCCCTGCACTCGTCACTCAGCCCCGGGGTCGCCCTGCACTCCCGCGGCTTTGTTCCTGCGCTCCTGGCAGGCTGTGCGGGGTGGGCCTCGGGCCTGGCGGGGGCCTCTGTGCAGAGGAGGGGCCAAGGGAGGGCCGCACCCTGCTTCCCTCGCGCAGAGGGCCGGGAGGAAGACGGACCCACCAAGGCGACGCGTTCTACGTGCCTTCTGTCTGTGCTGGTTCCTCCACAAGAACGTTTCGTCAACACGCCTGTGTGTTTGTGGCTTATCCGCCCATTTCAGGAGTGGCTTCTAGGGCAAGGAACTCTAACCAGCCATTTCTCAAACTTACGTGGTCTCCAGACACCCCTGCACTCTTTAAAATGCTGAAGAACGCCAAACAACTTTTAAGTGCTTGTCTCTATTGGTATTTGCTGAATTCAAACTCAAGACGAGAAATTTTAAAAACTGTATTCATTCATATAAAAGTAATAACAAACCCATTACCTTTGAACATAAATACTTATTATGAAAACTGACTTTTACAAAAAACTAATGAGAATAGCACTGCCCTCCCTTTTCTGCACATGTCTTTAACACCTGGTCTTACACATCTGGGCCTGATTCCAACTGTTACAAAATGGGGTTCTGGCTGACACAGAGGGGGAAAATCCCACCTCACACACAGACGTCCGCGGGAAGGCCACTTTAAATCGCCTCTTGAGACAGTCATGCTATCTTTGCTGCTGCACCGAAACTCGACGCGTGGTAGCTTCTCTAAGGCTGTCTGCAATGGGGAGTCTGAAACCATAGCAATGAGCCCATACTCCGTGGCATTAAAATCCACGGACCTGTCGTGCACTTGGAACAGACCCTCTGTCTGCGGATGACTCTGTGTCATCATCACTGTCACCGAGAAAGCACTGATCACTGAGCTACGCAGACCTTCTGTATCTTGTTCTCCAATATCTCAAATCTCATCACCAGCTATAAACACTTTGGTTGTTTTCCCAAAAATGCCCACTCGCTTTGTTCATTTTCCAGAAAATGTGGCCAAATGCCCAAGGCCCATCAGCTGCTCCTCCAGGCCAAAAGGACATCCAGCTGGACAGCCAGTTGGGCCCAGGACGCATCCACCACGTGACGCCCTCCTCCCTGGGCCCAGGACCTGCCAGTCGGCGGCCCCTCCATCACGCGATCTTACAGACGTGCGTCCAAAGGCTGACACCCACCCTTTAGCCTGTGTGTCTGCGCCCACCCAGAGTGCCGAGCCTACACCTTCCCTGAGCTGTCCTCGCTGTCCTTGTTTTCCACGTGCCAATGCTAATTCTGCCCCAACTTCCCCAAAGTCGCCTTCTCAAATGCTGCCTCCCACACACAGGAGGGTTTCAGCTAATCTCCCCCTGTCTCCCTCCACTCCCCGGACAGCCCCGGGCCAAGCGAGAATGTACAACCCCACTCTGTAGAAGGGGAATGGCTCCCAAGAAAAGAGCCCCAAGGGACCAGGGGACGGTAACGTTCACATCATCACAGTCTCACAATGAGAAAAGTCAGGCCGAGCTCAAAAGCAGTTGAAGATCTAGTGCAGGGCCACTGCCCGCATCTGACAAGAGACGCCAACTTACGGATTCAAGAAGGTCCGTGAAGCACAAACAGGATTAACCCTAGAAAATCTGTATCCAGACACATCGTAATCAAACTGCTAAAAACAAAGACAAAAACAAGTCCTTAGAGAAAAATCAGCTCACCAACGATCAGAACCGAGAGAGTCTGGATTTCCCCACAAGACCGAAAGCTGGACAGAAGACAGAGTGCCTTCACATCTTGAATGAGAACAACCACCCGATATTCACGTCGGAGGGTAAAACACAGGCCTTTTCAGACCCGCAAACACTTCCAAACTCTGCCCGTGTTCCTCTTCTTGGGAAATAAAGCACAAAAGAAGCCAGTGAAGGACCCAGGGAAAGAGAGAGAGAGAGAAACCACAAGACGTCCATGAACCAGATCCAGAGACAAAGCCCGTCCAACAGGAGCTAGGGCGGTATTGTTTTAAAAACAAACAGATTTCTTGAGCACTGGGATAATTATTGATAGCACTTGACAGATCTACTGGAATATACGTAAAAAAATAAACTTGCAAGTTCACCAAAAATTTAGCAAATAAAAGTAACTGGCAAATGTGCAACCACGGGGAAAATTACACACTGGGATGAGAAAGGAACGGATCAGAGCACCCCCTCTGGGATGGGCAGGAACAAGAAGCAGCTTTCTCTCATTATACTTTTCAGTATTGTGTGATTTTAAAGCCGTATGCACGTATTACTTTGATTTTTTAAAAGAGAATTATAAAACTAAGTACTGGGATTTTAGAATCGGGAGGGACCTTTACCACCAGAGCATCAAAGTCCTGAGGACTCTTCCCGACGCGGACGCCGGGCCCCACCCTGGAGCGTCCGAGGCAGTAGCTGCCAAGAGCCCCGTCGGTGGCTGAGCGCCTCTGCTGAGGGAACCAAATGAAAACTGGGTGTAACTAACTTACCCGGAGCAAGTGTGGGAAATTCCTTTCAATCCGTGCGTAACTCAAGAAGTTAGAAGTTCACCCTCATCCCTCTGTGCTGGTAGGAGCCCAGTGCTAAGGTCTCAAAAGAATTAAAATGACCTCAATCAACCCTGTGGTAATCGAAATCACAAGACGGGCCAGAGACACGAATAAGTCGGAATCTGAAAAATAAATTCAGGGCCACCGCAGAGCACAAGCAAAGCAAAGGGAAGCAGGCAACAGCATCAACAAACAAAAGGCCATTCCTAGCAGCCGCGCCTTGTGCACAAGCCCAGGAGAGCAAATGCGGGAGCTCGCGCACGTCTGTGCACACTTGAGTGCGGCATCCACGTGGCCAGTGCTATGGCTGTGAAAGAGACTGGAAATGGTTTCCTCTGTAAAAAGATAAAAGGCCTGTCCGGGAACCACACTGATCAGTAGTAGCTCCTGGGTGTGCCCTCGGTGCCCAAGCCGGGGGGAAGGACCAGAGCCAGCCCTCTCCTTGGACTTCTCCCCCCGGAAAGCCCAGGCCCTCCAGCCCCACACCATCCTCTCCCATGTGCCCAAGGAGGGCATGCCGAGTGTCTGCCAGAGCTGGAGGGCACCTGCCACCAGGGCAGCGGCCCCTCACTAGTCACAGGCACCTGAGAGCAGCACCCCTACCCCCTCCCCAATCTGGATGACAATTCCTGCCTTCCCAGGGAGGGGCAGGCGCAGTCACTGGCCACTCATCAGGCAGGGATCAGTCCCGTTACTGGGAACCCCTGTGGCCAATTAACCACATGGTTTCCTCTAAGGGTAGGACAGAGAGTGGGGCGGGGGAGGAGAGGGATCAGGAAGGGGGAAAGAACCAGGACCGGGGAGACAGGGAGATGGTGCCTTGACTCCAAGCTCACTGCAGTCAACCAAGTAGAGAAATCAACTAGAAAGTTCCTGGAGGGTGGTGCTGACGGTCCGGTCCATCTGAGGGCCGGCTCTGAGGCTACAGCACTGTCCTAACGAGACATTTCTCCTCTGACACCCTCAGGGGCTTCTACGGAGTGAATGAAGTGGGTGGCAAGGTGAGGGGAAGAGAAGAGGAGACAGTACATGACATTCGTGTGAAATTTGAGCTTTACAGCAGTCTTCTGGCAAGCTTTCCAGCCTAAGCCCCCTGGGTCTCATGGTGCACAGAACCTCACGTTGACGGGAACTACAGACAGCCCACCGCACGGCACAGAAGAGAACCTAAAGTTCTAAGTGGCCAGATGACTCGGTCAAGGTCACAGAGGCTGGCCATGATGCTGGCAGTCAGCCAACCTGAAAACTCCCCGTTCTCTCCATCTCCCTTCAGAGGAGCCGGTGTGCCACCACTAACTACTGACGTCCTGGTCCCGACCGCAGCACCTGGTGCCGGCACGGAGACTCTCCCTCCTCCTGGCGAAGATTCTGAGAAGGGCAGAAGCCCAGGAAGCAGGGCTCTGCTGACCTGGTGTCACCTCCACCCACTGGAAGATGAGCACGGGTGAGCCCTTTTGAAACAATTCCTCTGTGATGTCCCTCCTCCCCGGAAAAACCTGCAGTGAGCTGCCACCCGGAGAATGTGAAAATAAGCACAAGTGACTTGTGTTGTCAGGGCGCAGACCGGGGGCAGGGCTGGATGGGAGGGGACGAGAGACGGGGCTGGATTTGGGGGCCGCTGCTGAGATTGTTTCTTGACCGGTAACGGGTCAGCCTGGGAAGAGTGGTCCACCTCCGCACCGGGATCTGCACCCCTTCCCACACGCCTGCCGTCCTTCAAAACTAAGGGCACCTGCGTGGCTCAGCCGGCGAAGCGTCGGACTTCGGCTCAGGTCACGATCTGGGATGCAGCTCCGTGCCCGGCTCCCGGCTCCTCCCAGAGTCTGTTTGTCTCTGCCTCTGTCCTTCCCCTGCTCGTGCTCTTTCTCTCTCTGTCTCTCAAGTAAACAAAATCTTTAAAAAAATAAAACTTAAAAACGTGCAGCGCTCAATGCTCTAGAACGTGTGCACTTCTTTGTAGCTTGTACATCTGCTCATGGGCTTGCTGACTGCGCGTTAGTACTGCCTCCTGGACCAAGTAAGATTTCTCTGCCTGGCGTTCAAGGACTCTGCCACTAACTAGCTGTGTAACCTCGAGCAGCGACTTTCGATGGAGAAAGTAATCATGGCAAAGGCCCGCTGTGAAATCAGAAGTGGTTTGCTGTGGCCCTGAACCGTACCAGCCAC